ATCAGATGGATCTAAAGGTTCCAGAGACCAGAAAAAAACTGGGCGATAGATCCTTCTCTGTCTCCATTAAAACACAGCTGAGACAACTGACCACTTTCGAAAACTGCTAAAGACCATTGAAGCATATGTGCCTTAGACACTAAACCTATTGTACTCCCCTTGGACTGTTTCGTAACAGCGCCGGCACTGAACAGCTCTCACGTTTAAAGCAAGGCGCTCCATAAAGTATGATCTCTGTTGATTGATGGCTGGTGGCGGCGCATGTGGACTAAGTTTCCTAGTAATGCCTATCCAACAATTCCAATAGAATGTTTATTTATAGCTTTTGACCATATGATAGGACCTATAACGTAAAATGTTTCTATGGTATATACTCCATTTAAGAAAAGTACTTCATCATACATGTTGTATGGTGAGACTGGTAGAATCCCTTTGTCGACCAAGAAGCGAATGGTTGCCTTCTCGTATAAAATTGTATACTATCATGTATGAATAATAACAAACCTACTGTGGCTCTTTGACATCTATACCTCCACATGCTTAACTTACGTGTGTCTACGTGACTTTTGGCTTGCATGTGTCTAAAACATTGTTATGTCGCACTGTGCCGAAATGACTCTATTGTGAGTGAATTGGGTTCTACACGATACTATGCAAATATTTGCTTACATATCTCTCAACTCACGGATGCCAACATGACTCTATACTAGCATTCTGTACTAACATGTGCCCATATATCTCAACTATACTCACATGGGCTGTGCCTACATGACCCGATACAAACAGACCCGTGAAAATCCGAGGTAGAATACTTTTTCCGCAACCTATGCTTGCCGTAAAATGCGATTATGTTTGTCGTAAGAGGCGACTAACGGGATCGGGTGGTCAGGCTCGCTGACTTGGTTGATGCAAGTTATCGTGTCCCAATAGCGTTGATCGATGCTCATGATGTCAATCACTGGATTGTCTGGTCTAGACTGATTATTTACAGACAGCCGTCATATAGCTGTAATATTCCTGGGTGCGACGTTAAACAACAAACAAACAATACTAACATGAGCCTAAATACCCTACATCCGCATTTTCCTCCATATGTCTATATTGACATATCATCAAGTGACTTTATACTCATATGCGACCACACTACTCTATACTAAAATGTGCCTATGTATAATTAAATATGTAAGTATAATTAAATATTTATGTTATGCCATGTGTGGTGGCACGTGGTCCTGTGCAAAGCGCACAGGTCACAAATCAGGTGGAGGTGAGACCTTGGACAGGTGACCGCGCTTCGGCAGCTTGGCTCCTGAGAGGTCTAGGGCTTCGGTCCTGCCCCACACTGAAACACATGCAACACATGTGGTGTCTGCTTTGGTAAGCGACTTTGTTTTAAATGTGCCTCTGTTCACCCAGCAGTGAATGGGTACCCGGTAGGATGAGATGACAATGTTGTTGTTGACCATTTCGCCTAGCAGGCAGCTTGGGTTGTATACTCTACAGGGTGATGAGAATGATTCTTGATTGTGCACTGATCCAGTGACCGTGGTAATGATGGCACTTTGAACATGGGGGGGGGGGGGGGGGGGGGGGGGCAGTCGTCTAAGGCGCCGCGATTCGCTGTGCAGATTTGCGTCTCTTGGGAACGCCAGAAACCTATGGTTGTGGGTTCGAATCCCGGTTCACCCCGATTATGTTTCTAGGTTTGTCAGCACCATTCCCTTGCTCTTTGGTTTCACCGAAATGGAAAACGTCTGAGACCTGCATCACTTCGGGCTTTCCTCCCACATTAAGCTGACACGCCGTAATATAACTGGAATTCTGTTAAAAGCGGCGTTAAACCCAACTCACTCACTTTGAGCATGCCCCTGAGTTGTGTGGAAATATGCGCATTATAAATAGCTTATTACCTACTATCGCCTACATGTGTCCGTGACAGTGATTTTATACATGTTCTGCATTGCCCTGATAGCAATCACATTCGGCTACACAGTTTATAACCAACATGGGTATATTACTCTTCTTACTCGCATGCCATCACGATGTTATACACCCTCGTGCTACATGATCATGACGTTAACCTCACAGTTGCTAAGCTTATTATCGCAACTGACATTAAAAGCCTTTATCACATCATAATTACCCATTAGGTATTCCTGATTAAATACTGTCATGCGCCTCCTATCATGCGCCAGCTTCTGGCTCTCGTCGTACGATGCGAATACATGTACAGTAAACTACGATAATGACGTACTCAAAGGGACTACTAATTTTAATTCGTTATAACCGTTGTTCGTTATAAGCATATTTACAGCATAACTACAGCAAATAGTCGGGACCAAAAAAGTAAGTTCGTTATATCCGTCAGTTCGTTAAAAGCGTGTTCGTTATAACCGTAGTTTACTGTACATGTATTCGCATCGTACGACGAGAGCCAGAAGCTGGCACATGATAGGAGACGCATGTGAGTGGTGGGACTCAGGGACTTGCTAATAATATCGACCACTAGATTGACTGGTCCAGATTCGATTATATAAGGCGGCCGTGATATAGCAGTAATATTAATATTGTTGAGTGTGGTGTCCAAGAACTAAAAAACTAACATATCAGCATATGTGTCGTCATACTATAGGGTTAGAATTGTTCATTCTGTGCTGGTTGTAGCTGGGTTGAGTTTGTGTTATAGCACCCTGACGACGTAGATTGTTACTCACAATATCAATCACTGGCCTGTCTGGTCCAGTTTTTTTACGAATATTTACATGCCGTCGTCGCTTAACTGGAATATTGCTGTGTGGTCGTTAAACAACACACACACACACACACACACACACACACACACACACACACACACACACACACACACACACTGATATCAGCACAAATGTCTAACTGTCTGCATAGATAGTGTTCACTTTCATATGGAAACCTGGAATGAATGGACATTGTCGTGTTCTCGCATTGTCGCCATTACAAATACAAGCGAAAAGTGTCAAAATTAGCCAAAGCGCGACATAGTTTGACCGTTGTCGCACTGTCACCTTTTGGTAAAATAAAAGAAATATTATTCCAGGCGCGACAATGCGACACATGGCCAAAATGTCGCGTTGTCGCATTGTCGCGCTTTGGTTAATTTTAACACTTTTTGCTTGTTTTTGTGAGGGCGACAATGTCGCTTCCTGGATTCCATACTTTCGATTGGAGAGGTGTAGAGTGGTGGTGAAAGGCACGGGGAAGATGACAGTGGCTGTAAAGGTGGGTCGGTGGATGACGCTTGTACCGTTTTTTCAAGCAATATTAAGGCGGGGTTCATACGAACGAGCTTCACATGTGTACCCATGAGAGGAATCGAACCGGTGAATAGATGTGACGAGAAAGAGCTTCAAACATCACGCTACCATACCGCCTCGATTATAATAACGATGGTCACGAGCGATGAAGAACGTTGAATATGAAGCTTTTAACAGTAATGGATGGGTTAGTGAGTGAGTTTATTTTATCGCCGCTTTGAACATTGTCTCAGTTATATCACGTAGTGTCACCTTGATATGAAGCAATTCCAACATTTGTACAAGTAGCATCCGTTGACACTGGTACGAACACCTGTATGACCAAGGAAAGCAAGGATTATAATTATCAGGGCGAATCTGGGATTCAAACCCATAATCACCGTATCCTAACTAAGGGAGCCCCTAAACAACTAGTTGTTTCACCTACACTGCACACCACTTAAGGTGGACCAAGGATCAAACACTCCTGAAAGGAAAGAGTGTTTTGTGATCAATATTCACTTAACCGTTGACCGGTAGGGAACGGCATGTTTATCCCATCTCGCTAATGCCGTACACCGCCAGTGGTATTACGAGAATGTCTGCGTGTGCTTGTGTACGGGATTAGACGTTTTTCTCGTTTGTTGCTACGACTGTTGATTAAAACCAGCCACATTTTCACCGGAACCAAACACTGACAGTCACGCAGACTGCAACAAACCAAATTGCCACACACTCGGTTTGAACGCGGTTTCCAATGACAAAGTTGCGGGTTTTAATCATTGCTCTATGGGGATTGTGTATTGTTTTGTAATTGTTGTTGTTGTAATTTCGTGGTTATTTCTATTTAAAATATTATATTCTATAGTTTTGTTGTTCTCTGCTGGTTTTATCTGGTAAACCTGTTTGTGGGTTCGAATTCCGTATACACTTGTTCTGTCAGCTCCAAAGCCAAGCGACCAGTGAAGATCCAGGGTAGAATAATTATTCAGTAACCCATTCTTCCTGTAAAAGGCGACTATGCTTGTTGTAAGATCTAGAGGAGACTAACGGATTCGGGTGGTGCGGCTCCCTGACTTGGTTGATGCATATCATCGATCCTAATTGCGTGGATCGAGGCTCATGATGTCAATCACTGGATTGTCTGGTCTAGACTCGATTATTTACAGACCGCCGTCATATAGCTGGAATATTGCTGAATGCGGCGTTAAAAAAACCAACCAACCAAAGCCAAGCTCGTCGGTTTCACTCGAGTGAAGTATCCCGAATTAAGCTGGTATGCTGTTATGTAACCTATTGTCGGAGCGCTGAACTCATTTCCCGGCTTCCACATGGCTTTGACTAAGGTGAGTGAGTGAGTGAGTGAGTTGGGTTTAACGCCGCTTTTAACAGTATTCCAGTTATATCGCGGCGTGTCAGCTTAATGTGGGAGGAAAGCCCGAAGTGATGCAGGTCTCAGACGTTTATCACTTCGGTGAAACCCACGAGCACGGGTATGGTGCTGACAAACCTAGAAACATAATCGGGGCGAACCGGGATTCGAACCCACAATCATAGGGTTCTGGCGTGCCCAATGGACGCAACTCTGCACAGCGAATCGCGGCGCCCCAATCTTTGACTAAGGCATATGTGTCACAAAATCAACCGTAGTAATATGACGACTGTAACTAAACAGTCACGGTCATAACATTCACGTTCTCCAATCAGACCAAAAAAAACAAATGCAAGAGATGACGTCACATGGCTCGATCCGTCTCATAGATGAACTGTTTATTTCATCTTTCAACGTTATCCATACACGATCTGCCACAAGGACATGTATAAACAGTCATTCAAGTGACAGTTAAACCTATATCACATCATTGCAGCCTTTACACAAAGAACAGCGTGGGTATAATGACATATAAAATAGCCACTTCTTCTACCCTGATATCGTCACTTGAATACATGTTTACAGGCGAGAATACAGAACATGCTGTCACATGTGACCATTTGAAACAAAGGCAATAGAAAAACCTCACAGCACGCCATACAAACTGGTAGGAATTAATAGTTTTGGAATCGGAATGGAACATGGTACCAAAGAGAGCAATGCAGGTAGTGTCTGAATTCCTTTAAGTAGGAACCTGTAGGAATTAATAGCTTTGGAATCGGAATGGAACATTGTACCAAAGAGAGCCATGAAGGTAGTGTCTGAATTCCTTTAAGTAGGAACCTGTAGGAATTAATAGTTCTGGAATCGGAATGGAACATTGTACCAAAGAGAGCCATGCAGGTAGTGTCTGAATTCCTTTAAGTAGGAACCTGTAGGAATTAACAGCTTTGGAATCGGAATGGAACATTGTACCAAAGAGAGCAATGCAGGTAGTGTCTGAATTCCTTTAAGTATGAATAAAGTTTATGTAAGAGAGGAGGCACATTCTTTCTTCTCCTCTCATGTCTCCGTTGGGTTAGCAGCTTCTTGAGATTTCCTTTCTCTTCCAAACTTTTGGATCAATGAATAAAATCCATTTTTATACAATATGCACATACACCTATGTAATGTTTCATATTTTATATGGAATATAAGCAGTATAACATCGTGTCAACCTACAACAGCATTACTACAATATTTCCATTCTTCTGTTATCAATGCAATCTTTTCTTCGATTATTAAAATTAGAAACGGAAAACAATATTGTAATGACTTGCTTTTACATGCAGATCCCTGATTTGGGAATAAAAACTTTTAAAGAAAAAGATTTCGAATCAAATGTATCCTTCTGGAAACGTTGTTCAGAATTACCAATCTTCCTGTGTATCAGTTCCGTTTTGTTCAAAATGTCCACCTCTAGAGGTAATAACGTCAAGAAACGACCTGAAAATAGTTCATAAATCTTTCTGTGAAGGTAAATGACATGACGAATGTTGCAACATCAAATAGGTGGCCCCCGCTTCGTGTTGTAATTGTGTCCTCATATCCGGCATTAGCCATACTCATCCTGTCTTGTCAATGGCGCTTCCTTGGAGAATCCTTTGATCGCTCATTTGAATACCCAGCGAGAACACGTGTAGCTATGTTAGAGACTCTTCATATTGTAATAATTGATGATTAAATCAAACGCACATTCTAATTTCCCTTGATGAACCTTTCTGAAAGTTCGCATGATGGTCGAGTTCGAAAATCAGTCACGGAATATTGTTCAAATCTGACTTTTAAAGTTTGTAAGATTCGGCTTGTCAGGTTGTTACTGGTGAGTAGTTATAATGAAATGGAGTATTGATTTTCAAATCCGTTCGACTTCAGCTGTTAATAGGCATCATCGTTTTCTTTCAAAAAGTGCACTTGCTTTTGAAACGGACCGAGATTTCGTGACGCTGTGCTCTTGGTTGGCGAGATTCTGGCCCTAGGCAAGCCTCTCAGCGGCCAGTCGTAGCTTTCTTTGAAGCATCTATTAAAAAAACATACAAAAATTGGTTTAATATATCTGTGTAGGACAACTAGTTTTTCCTATGTAATCTTAACTGAAATTAATAGCATTAAACATCATAAAACTCTGGCACAATCTTTCATGTGTGAACGAGTAGGACATACACACTCGTTATTATCGCGATGAGTATGTCCGTCAGTTGGGTGTAACGCCACCTTGAACAGCTCTTACATAAAAGCGGTAAACGTCCCCGGCCTCTGTTGTTAAAACGTTTTGATAGAAATGAAATACTGTGCATAGCACATGAAAGCGAACCCATGCTCACTCAATGAACGGAGTTTAAATACAACTGCTCAGTTTAAATTCATTATAACATAAAGTTGCTAAGTAATTGAATACATATTGGTATATTGTACACAAGTCAAATAACACAGCTATTTGAACACCACAACGGTTGCACTTGTCCGGTCCTACCGAAGGCATTATTAATTGGCTGCTCTACATACATAGAACATACATCTCCACAACAGCCTGTACCAAGTAGAATCCAATTGTTCTCCTCCTATGGCATACACATAGTATTTCATACAAGGTAGCTTTCAAGCTTCTGTCTGAGGTTTGGGGGATGCGCCAATATTTCTGACATGTGAGCTGAATCCTCCGGGCTGAGGGGAGACAGTTTGAGCGCTGACGTGAACGGTTCCACAGATATGGTCACAAATAGGACATTTCCGCCGGGGCTATCATTCTCGATGGCAGCTGACCTTGAGTGCGTTGCCTTTGATGTGGATTGATATCCCACATATACACAAAGACAACATGAAACGGCGTTAATGAACCGTGGCTTGTTTATGCTCAATCACAAACTCAGTTGCTAATGAATTGGAAAAATAAAACATGAATGTTTTTTGTAAATAAATACCATGAGAAAAGACAACTATCCATGAAATGAAAGGCAAGGGAATCAAACGTACGGTATCAGGAGATGTGTTCGGTATTAGGAGGTGTGTACGGTATCAGGAGGTGTGTTCGGTATTAGGTGGTGTGTACGGTACCAGGAGGTGTGTTCGGTATCAGGAGGTGTGTATACGGTATCAGGAGGTGTGTTCGGTATTAGGTGGTGTGTACGGTATCAGGAGGTGTGTTCGGTATCAGGAGGTGTGTTTACGGTATCAGGAGGTGTGATCGGTATCAGGAGGTGTGTATACGGTATCAGGAGGTGTGTTCGGTATTAGGTGGTGTGTACGGTATCAGGAGGTGTGTTTACGGTATCAGGAGGTGTGTTTACGGTATCAGGAGGTGTGTTTACGGTATCAGGAGGTGTGTATACGGTATCAGGAGGTGTGTTTACGGTATCAGGAGGTGTGTTTACGGTATCAGGAGGTGTGTTCGGTATCAGGAGGTGTGTTTACGGTATCAGGAGGTGTGTTCGGTTTTAGGTGGTGTGTACGGTATCAGGAGGTGTGTTCGGTATTAGGTGGTGTGTACGGTATCAGGAGATGTGTTTACGGTATCAGGAGGTGTGTTCGGTATTAGGTGGTGTGTACGGTATCAGGGGGTGTGTTCGGTATTAGGTGGTGTGTACGGTATCAGGAGGTGTGTTTACGGTATCAGGAGGTGTGTTCGGTATAAGGTGGTGTGAACGGTATCAGGAGGTGTGTTTACGGTATCAGGAGGTGTGTATACGGTATCAGGAGGTGTGTTAGGTATCAGGAGGTGTGTTTACGGTATCAGGAGGTGTGTTCGGTTTTAGGTGGTGTGTACGGTATCAGGAGGTGTGTTCGGTATTAGGTGGTGTGTACGGTATCAGGAGGTGTGTTTACGGTATCAGGAGGTGTGTTCGGTTTTAGGTGGTGTGTACGGTATCAGGAGGTGTGTTCGGTATTAGGTGGTGTATACGGTATCAGGAGGTGTGTTTACAGTATCAGGAGGTGTGTTCGGTATTAGGTGGTGTGTACGGTATCAGGAGGTGTGTTTACGGTATCAGGAGGTGTGTATACGGTATCAGGAGGTGTGTTAGGTATCAGGAGGTGTGTATACGGTATCAGGAGGTGTGTTCGGTATTAGGTGGTGTGTACGGTATCATGAGGTGTGTTCGGTATCAGGAGGTGTGTATACGGTATCAGGAGGTGTGTTCGGTATCAGGAGGTGTGTATACGGTATCAGGAGGTGTGTTCGGTATTAGGTGGTGTGTACGGTATCAGGAGGTGTGTTCGGCATTAGGTGGTGTGTACGGTATCAGGAGGTGTGTATACGGTATCAGGAGGTGTGTTCGGTATTAGGTGGTGTGTACGGTACCAGGAGGTGTGTTCGGTATCAGGAGGTGTGTTTACGGTATCAGGAGGTGTGTTCGGTATTAGGTGGTGTGTACGGTATCAGGAAATGTGTACACGAGTTATGGGATAAAGGTGTTTCAGTGGACTAACGGACCACTATTCGCTGTACAGAATTGAGTCCTTTAACAATGATAGGATTCGCCGGTTTTGGTCTCGAATTCCAGATTCGCCCCGATTATGATTCTTGATCTGTTAACAAATTCTATTGCATATTTGTTAACGTCTAAAACCTTCACCACTACATGTTATCCTCCCACTTTAAGCCGTTTTATATCTGAAATACCGATCAAAGCTATCCCAGATTACTCACTCAAATACGTTCGTTGCTGTTTTCAATTATGATCTGTAGTTCATAGACCATAATTCTGTAGATCATATCGAAATGTTTCCTACTCAAACATCCATTTAATTAAATGATGCAACAAAAGAAATCTTCATTTATACCATAGCAACAACCTAAACACACAAGCCAAAAAGTCTTTCTTCCTTCCCTAAGAACTCCCCATCAAGACAACGTGATCTTTAAAAAGAACAGCCCCTGCCAACAAAGGCATCTGTAGTATTATCCCAAGTAATCATCTTAGCACATCAAATAAATACCCTATTAGAATCCGCCATGCACTATGGATTCATAGTGTAGAAGCAGACGAAGCAGCGATGCCTTCCCAACAGGGAATCAAACAAGACACTTCGTCACTAACAACATCAGTTTAGGTGGGAATCACAGATAAGGATCCCTGGGCAAAAATTGATATGTAATTATGAAATGTTACTAATCCGCTCGAACCTTGGTCCGAAACGCAAACAAGATTAAGCCCTAAGCTGTGTGTCTTTGAGACTTAATAAACAGCTTAAGCCATCAGTGAGTATACACATGATTGATGACGGTGTAGAACTTGCTCAATGTTGTGTTTGACAAACGCGCATTATCGCAAGGAAAAACTAATATGAGTAAGGTTGGTATTCCATATTATTTGATGGGAGATCAATTATTAGCCGAGGGGAGACCAGGGCATAAAATTGATTTTGGTCTGAGTGCTGGTTTGGTCTAACTGCTAACGTCAACAGCGTATAATGTTTAAATGCACGCAGAAAAAAACTGGGATTGATATATGCCAAAGGTGAGTCTGGGTCATTTGAAATTCTCGTAGTTATGCTTTTAACTTTAATAGTCGTAGCGCCAATAAAGAAGAGAGATATGTACACCGAAAACGTCAAATTCTACACTGACACCCTCGTTGTCATAACGTCAAACTTAATCTTATTGCTCCTGATGGCACATTTGGAACTTGGAACCAAAAGTCTAAGCAGTCTAAAATGGTCTACTAAAGCCTACCATGTAGATGCATCGTTGCCACGTTGCAAATCCAAACCCTTCTTACGTGTTACATTCACTAAGGAGTTAAAAAAATCTGAATCACCCATTATGGCTGCTATGTTTCACAATAACGAGGTGAGCTGTCCACATTACAAGTCGTGGAGATCTCCATTACTTGAGGCAAGTTTCAAGGATTATAAAAGGCTCTTTGTTTTCCCACCGTAAAGACTGCCCTGTTGATTGTATCCTATATATATATATCTTAAGTACCTCGGTTCAACTACGTTAAAGTGGCAACGTTCCCTATTCGTGTGCAAGTCAAAGTCAGCATAGTTATAGCAATGTTTAAGATATCAGATGTGTCTTTGTTGGTAATGTCTCATAAAATAATCTTCTCTTACTTTCTATGTGATCAGTTTAACTATCTACCTGGTAGACCACGTTGTGTATCACTGGCCCTAAGATCAACATGTTTGACCAACCAGGAGGGACCTTAAAGCCTAAGTCACACTTGCGTTAAATAACGTACTTAAGCGAAAAAAAGTCTTACGTAGTGCAACGTATCCCTACGTGGTTCATCTTAGCTGTCAGTGGTTATCTGTGTTCATAACGTAGCCATTAACGTGAGAAAAAAAATCTTAGGGATTTATCTGTTGTGCATGCACAACAGAGAGCCACGTAAGCTGACATTTTTGTTAACGTAGGAGTAACTGAGTTTAATCTGGTTAGATGTAGTCTGCGGTAGTTATAACCATAGTCTACTGTAGCCAAACGTAACGAACATCGTAGTTATCAAGGCATAAAATATCTACGAACAACTACGATAAACTACATCTTAGTAGGGGCATAAGTCCGTCTAACTTCGTTTAACTTCACATGACCCGGTTATACTACACTACACTACATTTACCTTATTTACATTAAAGAACGTTTCAATACAGTGAACTAAGTATTTGTACAGTCTAAAGTAGCTTAACGTAGGAAAACGTAGATAATGTGTAGCACACTTTTCGTACTTTAATGTTAATCACTCTAGTACAACATACATACTTGTCTGTAATTTGACGGACGTTTCCCTAGTAACACTTTGATATAGAAACGTTGTTCGACGTAGTCAAGCTTTTTTTTACATATTTCGACACGTTAGTGTTATATTGGCTACGTCAATATCCCTAAGGATAACTACAGCTACTAACGCAAGTGTGAATGCCGCTTTAAGGGTGATAGGATACAATTGTGTTTTGACGTCATAAACACGTTTGACGTCAACTTACTTCAGTGAAGATAGCCACGTGTGATGATATGTAATAAATATTAAGTGAAGCTTGTGAATTGTATTTTTGTGCTCCGATGTGACTTTTCAACAA